GCTTTCTACACATATAAAAAGATACACCAAATGCACCCGCTATTTTGAAAAAATTATAAGACCATCCACCAAAACTAACAGTATTGGAAAAATGAATAAACACCAGCAAAGGGAAAATGTCAAAGAGTTTGGAGCTTGATTAAATGTCTGGAAGTTGATGCTTTTCTGAAGCTATGAAAACCCCATTCCTTGAGGTGGATAACTCCCCTCAGCCTCTTCCTCTCACTTTATGATATTATCTTCTTGAGATGAAGGAGGCCTGATAGTCTACTGCATCCATTGGGCCATTGACATCTTTGGGGACAGTCATCAGACCTCTCCCTTCTGCGGGGACTTCAGGGGATAAATCCCATGACAGATCTGCTAATAGGCAGGTGTGGAACCACGTGTGGAGAAGAGAATTGAAGAGAGCCTTGAGAAGATACACCATTGAAAGGCTTAAATGAAGAAGTGAAGAAGGCAGCAGTAGCAGGAAAAAAGACTGCCTTCTTCATGAATCACTGGGGATACATATTATCCAAGTGAGTGGTAATAATGAGCAGGAAGGAGTTTCTCTGTCTTGGATCTCTTCCACCTTTCCCACTCTCCCTCCCCCAATCCAGCTGACAGGCCTTATTTACATAGGAAATTTGTAATTCACCACTGGAACAGCTCCATGGCTGTAGCAACAGTGGAAGATGTAACATAGAGAGGACTCATCATATATCTATACTCTGAATGGCATGATCACTGGCATGACCCCCTGGGGAGCCACACTGGTGGTGAATTACATCTTCTAATTACCCATATTACCTAATAAGCAGCCAGAGTAGGTCAGGAGCAGGTTTTCAAGCAGTACCATTGTCAAGTACTGTCTGTATGCACCCTGCACAAGTCACTTGTCACTCATGGAATGATTGTGTTTCTTAGACCTAGTCATGGAGGGAGCTCATTTTGCAGCATGGTCCCACTTTCAGGGCAACTTTCAATTAGCACACACATTATTCTATGAGCATGGATTCAAAACACTTATATACATGGTAAAAAAATAGGTTGCAATCTTATTGTTGGATTTGGACAAATGCTATCATTGGCATGTTAATAAAAAAGGCATATTTACAGAGAAATTTAACTGTAGGTAATCAAGCCTGAGACTTTGTCTACACTACACAGCTTTTAGTGACTTGGCCATGTCGACACTGCCATGTTGCTAAAAGTCTGTCAGTGAGAACACTGGTAGTCAGCACTTTTGCCAACAAAATATTTCCACCCCCTATAAGTGGGGTTCATGTTGTTGACAGGAGAGCACTCCTGACAACAATTAGCCACTTGCCATGGCAAAACTTTTATCCTGGTAGGAAGGCTTTTTAAAGCACCTGCAATGACAAAAGTGCATGAACTAGCAGCAATGTGATAGAATTTCTAGGGGGTGTGTGTACATAAGAACATAAGAACGGCCGTACTGGGTCAGACCAAAGGTCCATCTAGCCCTTCCAGAGGAGGCTGTGAAGGCTAGGACTATAATAGAGTTTAAAGAGAAGCTGGATAAATTCATGGAGGTTAGGTCCATAAAAGGCTATTAGCCAGGGGATAAAATGGTGTCCTTGGCCTCTAATAGCCTTTTATGGACCTAACCTCCATGAAATTATCTAGCTTCTCTTTAAACTCTATTATAGTCCTAGCCTTCACAGCCTCCTGTGGCAAGGAGTTCCACAGGTTGACTACATGCTGTGTGAAGAAGAACTTTCTTTTATTAGTTTTAAACCTGCTACCCATTAATTTCATTTGGTGTCCTCTAGTTCTTCTATTATGGGAACTAATAAATAACTTTTCTTTATCCGCCCTCTCCACACCACTTATGATTTTATATACCTCTATCATATCCCCCCTCAGTCTCCTTTTTTCTAAACTGAAAAGTCCCAGTCGCTTTAACCTCTCCTCATATGGGACCCGTTCCAAACCCCTAATCATTTTAGTTGCCCTTTTCTGAACCCTTTCCAAGGCCAAAATATCTTTTTTGAGGTGAGGAGACCACATCTGTACACAGTATTCAAGATGTGGGCGTACCATAGTTTTATACAGGGGCAGTAAGATATTCTGGGTCTTATTCTCTATCCCTTTCTTAATAATTCCTAGCATCCTATTTGCCCTTTTGACCGCCGCTGCACACTGTATGGAAGTTTTCAGAGAACTCTCCACTATGTATAGTGTTTTTAAAAGCACTTAAGAGCAACTGTAATTTACACAACAAAGTAAAACACAGCTGCAATGGATAAGGAAAAGTGTTTCATTTTGTTATCAACATTTACATTAGCATGTTGAATGAAAGATTGTTGCGTGTAAACCAAGATTTTAAATGAGTTTTTATGACATCTGCAAACAATTATGCAATGTTTACAGATTATATGACACACTTACAAGTCAGATAAGCACTGAGAAGCATGAGTTTGCATACGCAATAGACAAAAAGATTTCACGAAGGGCTGCACAGGTACAATGAGCCTAAATCCGTTCAGATGCGTTTTTTACTTTTTTTTTTCTAGTTGGAAAACCACATTCACCACAAAATTATAATTAAGTCTTGCAAAAATTTGGGACAGGATATTAAACATCATGCTTTTGGATTAAGATAGTTTCCTGTTACAGACTAAGAAGACACTGTGGCTACGTCTACACTGGCCCCTTCTTCGGAAGGGGCATGCTAATTTTGAACTTGGGAATAGGGAAATCCGCGGGGGATTTAAATATCCCCCGCAGGATTTAAATAAACATGGCCACCGCTTTTTTTCCGGCTTGGGGAAAAGCCGGAAAAAAGCGTCTAGACTGGCGCGATCCTCCGGAATAAAGCCCTTTTCCAGAGGATCTCTTATTCCTACTTCGAAGTAGGAATAAGAGATCCTCCAGAAAAGGGCTTTATTCCGGAGGATCGCGCCAGTCTAGACGCTTTTTTCCGGCTTTTCCCCAAGCCGGAAAAAAAGCGGTGGCCATGTTTATTTAAATCCTGCGGGGGATATTTAAATCCCCCGCGGATTTCCCTATTCCCAAGTTCATATAAGGGATGGGGGTGGTGAAACTATTCAACATCTGCCTATTACAGCATTCTTGCTTCTTTCTCTGAAACATCGACACTGAGGCGCTGTCAGAGATGGACTAGATGGCCCTCAGGCCTGACACAGTCTGGCAATTCCATTGTCTTAAAAGACAGTTGATAGAAAGGTGCTGGGCTTTTGCCCATCCAAACCACAAACTAAACTTACCAATTCCATGAAGAAAACACAATCCACTGGAGTCAGGTGAAGGTCAATACTCCCTTTCTATCCAAACAATGATTGTAACAGAAAGCTGCATGCGGTGCTAGAGAAACTGCATCAATAAGCATTTGTATCTGTCATGTAAACTCTGAGCCTAGGATCAGTCCATATCTTGGGGTACATCTTCACAGCAGGGCAAAACTCGAATTAAGCTACACAACATCAGCTATGTCAATTGTGTAGCTGAAGTCAAAATAGCTTAATGCAGCTTTTGGCACTGTCTCCACAGCAGGAAGTTAAAGGAAGAACAATTTTCCTTCCACTTCTCTTACTTCTCCTGAAATGAGGGCTACCATGAGTTGAAGTAAGAAGTCCTCCAACTCCACATTATTTTGAAATAAAGGCTTGTAGTGTAGATGCATACTATGGGTACGACTATACTGCTGCTTTTTTTTCTAAAAAAGCTACGCAAAATGCATATTGCATTTTGCGTAGCTTTTTTCGATTCTTTCGTCGGAAGAGGCTTTGCTGACATTTGGCCCGTCTAGACTAGGCCAAATGTTAGAAAAAACCCTCTTTCAAAAGCCCCCTTATTCCTTGTGCAATGAAGAATACAGGGGCTTCTGAAAGAGCGCGTTTGCTCTCCCCCCAAAAACACAGAAGAGCAAACGGGTTCCCTGAACGCAGAACAGTTTTTCCAGGATACCTTTGCTATCTTGGAAAAACTGTGTAGTGTAGCCGTAGCCTGTTATTTAGGGATACGCTCAGTTA